AACAAGCACACTATGAGAAACATCATTAACCACATACAAATTGAAATACTACATAGAGGCAATTTTCAAAGAGAATACTATTAACATGATAACACTCACATAGGATGATATACACAACGACTAAGAATGCCTAAACAAAAATACATGCATGTGAAGTGACAATTAAACAATTGTTACACATAATGCTAAATAACATAATAAGAACACGAATAATGAAGGATACAACACAATCATAAATTCTTGAGTCGCTACAAAAGCAACACGATTACGTGACATATGCTTTTGGTGCTTTCAAGTGATGCACACGCATTTGCTCTAGCACGACAATACACGAAGTTATCGCCACTCAAACCAAAAACAGAGATTTTATCATAACAATGATGCACGACAAGAATTTATTTAACATCATAGCATGTTCAACCAATGTTCATGAACAAATACATAACAAGCCACAAGCACTAGAAGTGTATTTCAAGTATATAAAAGGAATAACACAATATTACTATAAACATATGATTGGCACAAATCAATAGAAATTTTTGGAAGTGAATATTGATGAACTACTTCATACAACAAGAATATTAGTCATTATGGAACACTAGCAACAAGTAAAATTAAGAGACTTACTAAACAATATAAATGAGAAGAAAAGGAAAAACATTACCTTCCAAAGAAAGTTAGAGCAAAAATATACAAAGTGCATGAAATGAATCATCTGCTAGGTAAGATTCGAGATATCGAGTATCCTTAATTCCATTCGTATGTTGAAAAACGGTTTGATCACAAGTGATTTTGTGAAAATATCGACAAATTGATGTTTGCTATCAACATGCTCGAATATGACATCGCCTTTTTCAACATGGTCACGTAGGAAATGATAGCATATCTTAATATCCTAAGTGCAAGAATGCAACACCAAATTCTTGTTTAGATTGATAGTGCTAGTATTATCGCACATAATGGGAATACATTGCAAGTTTATATCAAAATCAAGTAATTATTGCTTAAGGCATAATATTTGGGCACAACAACTACCGACCGAAACATATTCCACCTTAGCGGTTGACAAAGCAACATAAACTTGTTTCTTGTAATGCCAAATTACTAAAGCATTTCAAAACATGTGGCAAGTTTCACTAGTGCTTTTCCTATCCGATTTGCAACCGGAAAAATTGGAGTCGGTGTATCCAACCAAGATGCAATTACTTCTTTTAGAATACCAAATCCCATATTGAGAAGTACCATGGAGACATCTAAGAATATATTTTAATTTAAATGGGATTCTTTAGGAGTTGATCGATAACTGGAACACATACATACAATAAACTAAACATTATACCTAACCTATATGTCGTGAGATATATAAGAGATCTGATTATACATTTATACTTTTTCACATCTACATCCTTACCATTTGCATCCTTTTCCAAATTGCCATTTGTAGCCATAGGTGTATCGATATACTTTGCATCTTCCGTGCCAAAGCGATTTAGCAATTCCTTGCAATACTTAGTTTAACACACCAAGGTATCCTTTTTAAGATGTTTGATTTGAAGCCCAAGGATTAGGAAATAGTTCACTTCTCCCATAAGGCTCATTTTAATTTCTCCGTGTATAAGTTTAGAGAACTCTTCTACAAGTTACGTATTAGTTGAGCAAAACATAATGTCATTAACATATAGTTGAACTAGAAAGGTGTGTTTTCCTTTCTCATTCTTCATTCTCTTTTCATATTCTTTTTCGTATTTTGCTAAGCAAGTGTGCTTTTGCTCATGCTCTTCCAACTTACTAAACAAAACCGTGAGATCAAGCGACTTAAGATCATTTTCTTCTTGATGGCGGTGACCTTGGGCTGCCATTCCATACTTAAACACCTCAAAACTTTGTTAGTAGCAAGTTAATTGGAAACAAGATTACCTAACGCATTTAACCGATTTATGAGATGAGTGAACCGTTTTCGCATATCCGCAATGGTTTCACCATGCTCAATATGGAATAACTCAAACTCTTGATTTAATATGTTAATCCTAACTTGTTTGACATCATTAGTTCCCTCATGGGCAATCTCTAATGCGTCATACATAGCTTTAGGGGTATCACAATGAGAAACACGAATATGAGGATATTTTTTGCTTTCCAATCATGTGACCACAATTTCCCTCTGCATTGGTCATAATTATTTCATTTGGACCATTTTGGATAGTGTCCTAAATACCTTTGTTAATGGAGTTGACATGAATATGTAACACCTGAGATGAAAGAGGACGGTGGTTACATGTAGCACCCGTGGGCGAGGGAGTGGTTGTCGGTGTCATGAGGCATGACAATGGGACACTCCTAACAACTTCTAGGGGAAAACCGAATTCACATCCGAATGAGAGGGATCCTGAGGCTATGCAGGTATGGGACTGCATGGTTGAATGAAGGCTTATAAGGATTAATTGGTACTACATATACCAACAAGATGCATCTTCTTTTCGGTAGCCCGTTCATAAGAACTCCACAGTTAAGCGTGCTTGACTTGGAGCAATTCTGGGATGGGTGACCTTCTGGGAAGTTTCCCGGAAAGCATGTGAGTGAGGAAAAAGCATGCTGAAAAGACCCGTGTTGGTTTGTGGGGTCAGTCGGTAATCCTGAAAGCAATATGGGGCGTTACAAATGGTATCAGAGCCATACCTCTCCCAGTACGATGTGGTTCGGGGACGAACCAAGCGGAAGTTGGTGGACATGTAACACCTGAGATGAAAGAGGACGGTGGTTACATGTAGCACCCGTGGGCGAGGGAGTGGTTGTCGGTGTCATGAGGCATGACAATGGGACACTCCTAGCAACTTCTAGGGGAAAACCGAATTCACATCCGAATGAGAGGGATCCTGAGGCTATGCAGGTATGGGACTGCATGGTTGAATGAAGGCTTATAAGGATTAATTGGTACTACCTATACCAACAAGATGCATCTTCTTTTCGGTAGCCCGTTCATAAGAACTCCACAGTTAAGCGTGCTTGACTTGGAGCAATTCTGGGATGGGTGACCTTCTGGGAAGTTTCCCGGAAAGCATGTGAGTGAGGAAAAAGCATGCTGAAAAGACCCGTGTTGGTTTGTGGGGTCAGTCGGTAATCCTGAAAGCAATATGGGGCGTTACAAAAGGTATCAGAGCCATACCTCTCCCAGTACGATGTGGTTCGGGGACGAACCAAGCGGAAGTTGGTGGGCATGTAACACCTGAGATGAAAGAGGACGGTGGTTACATGTAGCACCCGTGGGCGAGGGAGTGGTTGTCGGTGTCATGAGGCATGACAATGGGACACTCCTAGCAACTTCTAGGGGAAAACCGAATTCACATCCGAATGAGAGGGATCCTGAGGCTATGCAGGTATGGGACTGCATGGTTGAATGAAGGCTTATAAGGATTAATTGGTACTACCTATACCAACAAGATGCATCTTCTTTTCGGTAGCCCGTTCATAAGAACTCCACAGTTAAGCGTGCTTGACTTGGAGCAATTCTGGGATGGGTGACCTTCTGGGAAGTTTCCCGGAAAGCATGTGAGTGAGGAAAAAGCATGCTGAAAAGACCCGTGTTGGTTTGTGGGGTCAGTCGGTAATCCTGAAAGCAATATGGGGCGTTACAGAATACACATAATAGCTTTCCAATAGCCATGATTTTCGTTGGTGAAATTTGATGCTCTATTATACGCTCCCTTAGGTTTGGTAGTCATTCTTCTAAAGAGTAAATCTCAAGCATGGAATTAACAGGAGCTGTTGATACCAATTGTTAGACGATATGCTTCGATATAGAGAGGGGGATGAATAGATCACAAATTTAAAACCAAAAACTCTTGGCAAAAATTTGTTTTCAAAAAGTATGGCACATCTAACCGAACCTACTATCGAAAAGCTCAAATATGCGTAATGAAAACCAATGGAATGATAATGAATACAAATTATTCAATTAACAATTAATACACTGATCAATCAAATGCAACGCTATACATAATGCTTATTTCCATTGAACAAAAAGCGATAAAAATACTCAAAGACAATTTATCGAATACTTTGTGTGTGATTGATCACATTTGAAATTCAATTTATTTTGTTGATGTAAAAAGCCAATCACAATAAAAATGTTTGTGATTATATCAACATCAACAATTTTAAAGAAAGTTGAAAATCTTCATCTTCATACACAATTTTTTTTGCTTCTTTTGTCGAATTAGCTGAACAATTCGGCCGATGAGGAGGGATAATGAGAGAGATTATATGTGTGTTGTTAATTGGTTAATTGCTTATTTATAGTAGATTTCACTTTCTATTTTTGTTTTGGATTTGTGGATAGGTTGATTGAGAATTTTGAAGAACTTCACCTATTGTTGCATTTTTTTAATTTGATAGAAACAAGATGACGCTCTGTGTCCGAGTTGGTGCCAAAATGCTCCATAACTCCGAGGATGAAAAGAAAGGCGAGATAGAAAGAAACAAACCCAATAAAAGGGGACGAACAACAAAAAGGGGTATATATTAGTCAGGAGAGCAAAAAAAAAAGGACAAGGAACTAAAGATTATAGAAGACCACGAAGAAAAGCCAGAATTAGAGATAATAGAAAAAAGAAGAAAAAAGATATACAAAGAAAAAAAAAACTACAAACACAAACAATAAAATCAACTAATAACAACACTTACCGGAGGGACCCACACACGGTAGAAATAAAATCTATATTAAAAAGTTAAAAATAAAATTTCATTGATTAAAAATATATATATTTTTCAAGTCTTAATAAGAAAGAAAAAAACATTTGAAATTTTACTTAATTGTATAAGCAAAACCTAAAATAAAAGAAAAAGTATTAAAAGAATATTCAGTGATAGAAATTTGAAAAACAGAAGGGCGCGTTGTGACCAGATCCAAAAAACTGCCCGTTACACTTTCCCCCCTATTCATACCCTTTCTTCTCCAATTCCTTTTCTCACAACAACTCTTTCTTCGATTTCGTAACAAAAAAATGGAGAAGTACGAAAAAATCGAGAAAGTAGGAGAAGGAACCTACGGCAAAGTGTACAAAGCAAAAGAAACCTCCACGGGCCAAATCGTGGCCCTCAAAAAAACCCGTCTCGAAATGGACGAAGAAGGCGTTCCCCCCACCGCCCTCCGCGAAGTTTCTCTCCTTCAAATGCTCTCTCAATCTCTCTACATCGTCCGTCTCCTCAACGTCGAACACGTCGACAAAATCCCCAAATCCGGCACCAATTCAACCCCTAAGCCCATTCTCTATCTCGTTTTCGAGTATCTCGACACCGATCTGAAGAAATTCATTGATACTTTTCGTAAAGGAGCCAACCCTAGGCCGTTGCCCACTTCGCTTGTTCAGAGTTTTCTCTTTCAGCTTTGTAAAGGGGTTGCTCATTGTCATAGTCATGGTGTTCTTCACCGTGATTTGAAGCCGCAGAATTTGCTGCTTGATCAACAGAAAGGGATTTTGAAGATTGCTGATCTTGGTCTCGGCAGGGCTTTTACTGTTCCGCTTAAGAGTTATACGCATGAGATTGTTACTCTTTGGTATAGAGCTCCTGAGGTTTTGCTTGGATCTACTACCTACTCTACTGGAGTTGATATCTGGTCTGTTGGCTGTATCTTTGGTCAGTACTCATTCTCTCCATTTCCACTGTTTTTTCTAGTTGTTCTTGTTGCTGATTTACCATAATTAGGGTTGTAGAATAGTTGTACTACATAGTGTAATTTGAACAAATTGTTAGGGTTTTGTGATATGTGGATTTGCGGCAGTGGTGTAGCAGAATTTGAATTAAAAGTTTTGCTATTGGATCTTCCATTGACAACACTTACCCTGCTCGGTGCCCTAAGATATTCTTTGACTTGCCTCCCAAATATGACTTTAGGAATCGGATTGAAGAACCTAAGTTGGTGTAGGGTAAATAACTCGGGTTATTTGCTTGAGGGAGAGTCGTCTTATGATTCTCCTACACGGGTTTTGTGATTTGCATACTTTTCTTTCTCTATTAGTGATGGAAATGTAATTGTTTGTTTGTTTGTTTACGCAGCTGAAATGGTGAGGAGACAGGCTTTGTTTCCGGGGGATTCTGAATATCAGCAGCTTCTTAACATATTCAAGTAATAAACTCATGTTTTCAATTCTTTTTCTCATTCTCTTATTAACAGAATATTGCTGTTTGTTGGGATCTATATTTTCTATAGCTTTTTATATAAGATTTGATAAAATGTAAAGTGTCAATTTACAGAGAAGGTTGGTTAAGCTCTTAAACTTATTTAATAGTTTTTTTGTAAAATTGTAAGTATAAACTTAATCAATCTAATAGTTGAATTGAAAGAGGTCACTTTTATTAAAATTTATATAGAAGCACCCAGGACATTGATATTGTATTTATTTACGTTATTACTATTAATTTCTTGTAAGATGTAAGGTTCATTAATCTTAATGTTGAATTGAAATTTTTTTGGTGTAGATTGATTTTGTTAAAGTTTTATTTAGTTAGGACATTGGTTGATAGTTCATTGCACTAAAGTTTAACTTGTAAGTTGTAAATATTACTTTAGTATGAATGGCATGTTTAGTACTTGATGGTATGGTGTGTTGTATGAGATAGCAGTCCTACAATGGTTTGAGTCCGGTTGGTGTGATGCGCTTTTTCGTGCATGTCATCCTTGTGGTCTTTTGAGAAAGATACATATTAATGGTTTGTCAAGCTATATGATTTTTGATAGAATGTTATGACATCATTCAGTCCATGTAGTTAACCTGTAAAATAAGATTTGGTTATTGTTCTTTCTTTATTTCTTTAAGTGGGTTTGGAGTACCCCTGTACTCCTCTTAATGTATTCATTTATTGTAAAAATATATTGAAGATTCTACCACATGATTTAACTGTTTATTGAGTAAGTAAAAGGTTCTGTCACATGGTTATAATATTGAAGTTTACCTCCTATTTCAATTGAGACCTGTTAATATAACTAATAGAAAAGTTTTTCACCTTTTCTTGTGATTTCACTGTTTCGAAGTGTTTTTGTATTTACAAGTTTGTCACATTTTCATGTTTTCTCTCATTCTCAATTCAACTGTTGTGTTTACTTATTTACTAATTTTATTTTTAAGGCTTTTGGGGACTCCAACAGAGCAGGAATGGCCAGGAGTTAGCTCTCTGCGTGATTGGCATGTCTACCCAAGGTGGGAGCCTCAAAACTTGACAAGAGCTGTGCCTTCTTTGGCACCTGAAGGAGTGGACCTTCTATCGGTTAGCATTCCCTCTGATTAATTTTGCTTTCTGTTTCTAAGTTCATAAGCCTCTTGAGAAATTGTTATTTGTGCAAGATACAAATTAACAACCATAATGGGTTCTTTCATGAGTATCAGTTCATGCATTGAAAAAAGCCAACTAATTCAAAATATGGATTGTCATAAAAATTGCATTTTAATCAGATGATAACATTGGTGTGTGCTTATTCTTTTCACCTCAATGTTACTTTTTTTCACTAAATCAGTTCACAAGATGTTAACCACTCGTTTGGAGGAGTATGATTCAATTGTTTGCAGCATACAATAAATATGGCATACACAGCATGACACTTGCACTTTCAGTGTTCAATAATGTGTGTCTCTTCTTTGTCGTCCCACTAAACTTTGGGAGTAATTGTATTCACTGATGCACCTGCAGAAAATGCTCAAGTATAATCCCTGTGAGAGAATATCTGCCAAAGCAGCACTTGATCATCCCTACTTTGACAGTCTTGACAAGTCTCAATATTAATGATGGCTCTAGCTTGGAAGGTTTTGCGCAGAAGTGTCTGTTAAGGAACAATGTATTGGCAGTTAAAGAAAAAGCAACAATATATTTGCAGTCAGTGAAAATAATTCACTACGAGTTGAAGGATGTTTAAGTTTGATTTCAAGTAATATTTCTTCATCATCTTGGTGATTTGGACAATTTACTCTTGGTTAATTTCATAATTGCTCAGTCTCTCTGTAGGACCCTTGAAGAACTTTATGCACCTTTAAAAATGTTATTATCTGTTGAGATTGAAAGTGATAGTTTTTTAGTTTGCTATTTACCTTTGTCAATGCATAATATATTATTGCTTGTACATTTATAGTGTCCTGCAAGTGAGGGTGTTTCCTCATTTCACGGGGAAGGCAAAAAGTAAAGGCTACCCTAGGCAGGGTACTTGTTTTATGGCGTTTGCCTTCTTTTCACATGCCATTATTGATCACTTCATCTATGCAGGTTACTTGTGAACTCAATAACTGAATTGCAATTTCAAACACATTTTTAGGTTTTGGGACTTAGTGTGCTAACATTCAATGTCATGATAAATTCGATTTAGAAATGTTTTAAACATCATCAAATTGTCAAATTAAATCTTTAAAATCATTCAGTCAAATTTTGTGACATTATAGTTAGAAACTCAATGCAGTCAGATTTGGTTGTAAATTGTAATGACTAAATGGATTCAACAGATAAATATTGTAATGTTGAAATAATTCATTAATCATAATGAATATCGAAATACAGTTAAACCAATCAAATGATACCTAGGAAAAACCTGGGAAACGACATTCTTATGCTAGTTACCTTGTTATAAGGCAAGGCAAACATAGCTGCATGTGTATATAAATGGTCAGAGTAGAAAAAACTGGATTTTTTTCCTCGCAGAAACTATGTGCTTAATTCTGCTATGAAGAATTGTGTCCAGATGAGACATATTATAGGAAAGTTCCCTACTTATGTGAAACTGCATTCCTCCACTGCAAATCCAATTTTGGACTGTTTGGCATCATATATTACCCTCTGATTCCTTTGCTGATAATTCCCAATGATGGCCATGTCATTTTCATCAGAAAGACTCGCAAGTGCCAAACAAACTTGTGAAGTATCGTCTTTTACCATATACAGAATACCAGCTGCATCCACATTCAGATCAACATTGTCCTCAAAATGCATACTTAGGGTAGGTATGCTAACTTCCTCAATACCAGTTAGATTAAAACAGGTATCCAAAATTGAAAGCCCCGGTGCAAAAGGGTAACCAGAAAACTGTTTCAAAAACTCTGTCTTCAAAGCATTATAAACAGATGGTGCTAGTCTAGTGATCACCGTCCCCGAATCAATCAGAACGCCTCCGTTGCCGAAGCTTGTATCTTCTAGAGCCACACCGCCGACATCTATGCCGGTGAGATTGAGTATATAAAAGTTTGATAACTGTGGATTCGAAACCATATTGGTATAAGCAATTGGAGTAAGGTTCTTGAAAACCGACGACTCGTTACCTATAACTAATGAACCAGAAGCTCCATTTTCTGTTGTTGGTAAACAGTAGGAGAAAACTCCTCCAAATGTAGTATTGGTTTGAGATATCAATGAAAGATTACTTCTTCCTAATCCCATTAGACCCGAAACTCCACCAAACAAACCTTTGTTGTTCCTACCACAACCAAAAACAAAATTACTCACCGAAATACCTCCAAAACTAATGTGCTCAACACCTAGCTCTCCATCCGTAAATGATCCATCACCATAGTTAACAGCATAGTTACAACTTGATGGATTACTACTTTCACATACTTCTGTATTCCCTGTAGTAAGTTGAAGATTTTGACATGTTGATGAATTGCATAGTAATGATTTATAGGAAGAGGAATTAGAAGGGTTGAAAACAGGTCCTTGTTGATTATAACATGACAAACAAGGATCACATTGAACCCATGTTAAGTCACTTCCGGTATCGATTATCACAGTCATGTTCTGATTACCCAATCCCAATGTCACAATGTAGTTCAAAGTTTCCAAATTTATACCAGAAGCTAATGGAATTTGGATTTCTGAAGATTGTCCTAAACCATGGCTAGAGACCTTTGTTCGAATCCTGTTTTGCATCAAACGAACTCGAAGATTATCTAATATTAACTGTTTCTGAAGCTTTCTGTTCCAGTTAATTTTCCTCTCTGAGCAATATCCTCTATCCTTCATTTCCAGTATAATGGCTCCTTTCTCCTTTCCTGAGAATTCAGATTAAAATGGATATATAACTTCTGAACTGAAACAACTTATTCAAATATTAGAGCAAAATGAAAATCAGCAATGCAATTTTTTAACAGAAAACACAATGCAATCTAAATGTAAATAAAATGTTGTGTTTTTGTTTGTTTGTTTGTTTGTGTGTTTCTTATCTGTTTCCTTTTGAATTAGGTTGGTGTTCTAACAAAGAGTTTGAATGATAAATAAGAAACCAATGATGGGTGTATTCTTTTAAGGGAAAAAACAATTCTTAGATTCTATTAACAGTAAAAAGGAAAGAACTTTAAGAGATCCAATAAGAAAAAATCCCAGAAATTTAGGGGGAAAAAAACAATTTTTTTTTCCAGCTAAACTCACTTGATTCTGGGAGGAAGCAACCTTTGGGACCAAATTGGTGTTTCCTCTGCAACATTTGCAGTTTGAAAATCTTGTTCTGTTCGAATTGACAAACCCCATTTGCAATAATGAAGTAAAAGGAAACAAGGAAGAGAAAGAATGAGAAGAAAGGTAAGTTCATAGCTATGAGTTTGTGAAAAGAGTGAGAGAGGAAAATTCAAAGGAAGTAGTAGTAAGAAAGAAGAAACATTGAGAGTGAGAGAGGAAAAAGAGGAGAGATTCTGAGTTTGTGGAATTTGGCATGAGAACAAAAGAGGAAGTGCTGTGTTTGTATACCCCACTTGTGCATGAGGAATTATTGGGGTTTCACGTGCACATATTGAGAAAAAAGAAAAAAAGATGTCATGTTTTTGGATTTTGGTGTAAGTGGGTTTCAAGGACTTTGGATTTTTCATCATCTTATTATTGGCCTCATGAGCCTTAAGCCCTCTTATGGATAAGAACCAACTACCTTTCAAATGCCACAACTTTTCTAACCTCCACATCAAGAGTTATTAGATCAAGATCAAACCCATAGGGATTGATATTAGGGAGTCCAGGGAAGTCGGTGTTGAAAGCTGATAATTTTGTGCTTCAGATTTGAGTTTAATTGTAGTGCGTTCGGTTCAGTTGAATTGAGTTATTTAGAGATGGTTATATTCGATAGAATCGAATATATCTTCTAATTATTGTGTCGAAGTGTAATTTGTAATTTTGTATTTCGCACTTTGTAAACTTTGGATCTAAGCTTTTGGTGCCTAGATAAAGGGCATGGTATGGTATGATGTAAATAATAGTAATAATTTCTCTCAATTATAATTTTGTTTTTACAATTTAGTTTTCTCTCTTTTCTCTTTTATTCTTCTTCATTACCTTTTTTGAAAATTCTAATTATTTCACCAAATATAACAAATTGGTATCAAAGTCCGAGTCGGTTGCAATTTAGAGAGAATTTGTAATGACAAATAGAAATACAACATCAACACAATTTTCAACGAATTTATCGGTTTCAAAGGGGAGAACTACAAGAGGTGAGTTGCGCATATGAAGGTCATCTTTAGATTTTCAAGATGTGGCTGAAACCGTGAAAGATGGAGTACTTGTATTGGATGAGAATGCGAACGAGTTTCTGCAGAAGGAATGAAGAAATAAAGATGAAAAAACTTTGTTCTTGATCCATTAATGCATATATCCTAATGTGTTTGAGATGATCATTAAATTTGAAGAGGGTGAAGTTAAAGAACTTGTACGACCGAAATGAACATTTGAAGAGGGTGAAGTTGCAAACGGTGAGAAAGAAATTTGAGATGACTAAAATGAAAGAAGATGGGCCAGTTTCCGAATTATTTATGTGTCTAGTATCGCTAACAAACCAGATGAATACGATCGATGAATCAATCACTGATCTGCAAAAGATTGAGAAAATGCTGAGATCTCTAACTGCAAACTTTGATTACATTTTCGTGTCCATTGAAGAGTCCAAGAACATAGTTAAGATGAAGGTGGAAGAACTTCAAGCTTCATTGGAGGCTCATGAGATAAGACAAAAGCAGAGGAACTTAAAGAGGGAGAAAGTTGCTAGCCAGGCAATGCAAGCAAGATTCACCAAGAAATCTTGGAAAGAAAAGGAGAAGCGGAGAAAGAATATTGCTAATGATGAGAAGTCAAGGAAGAACTCAAAGAATCACTCTAACTAAATCAAGAAAGTCATGAGCAACAAGTATTCTGGGAAGAAAGTTAACATGAAAGAGGTGCAATGTTACAACTGTCAAGGATTCCGTCATTATGATAGAAATTGTCGAAGAAGAAAAGAATCTATAGTAAAATATGACGACGAAGTGAAATATGCACATGCGGGAGAAATTGACTCTGATGATATCGTACTCATGAAAAATACTCAGTCAAACAATGAGAAAACCAACATGTGGTATATGGATTCAGGATGCAGCAACCACATGATTGAAAATAAAAACTGAATTACCAAATTAGATGAATCAGTTAAGAAAGTGATCAAGTTTGCATATTGCAGACATGTTACACCAGAAGGAAGAGTAAACATATATGTGGTTAGAAAGAACGGTCAAAGAGGCAGCATTAATGACGTTTGACAAAGGGTATAACATGAAGTTGGAAGAAAATATAATCAAAGTATATAATGGTAAAGGAAGGATGATCCTAAAGGCACCATTGGCAGATAACAAAACCTTCAAGATTGAGATTAACATGGTTGATCACTGGTGTCTTGCTTTGACTACTGTCGAAGACAAGAACTGACTATGGCAATACAAGTATAGACACTTAAACTTCAAATGTCTAGGTATGCTTAACTAGAAGAATATGGCGTATAACCTACCTTAAGTTAAATAACCAAGTCAAAGATGTGAGGAATACTGCAAAGCAAAGAAGGCTAGGAAGAAATTGAAATATGACTTGTCCATGAAATCGAGAGAAAAGCTAGAGCTTGTTCACTCTGACGTGTGTGGACCTTTTGAGTTAAGGTTGAATGAAGGTAATTTTAATTTCCTAACCTTCTTAGATGAACTCACTAGATATAGGTGGATTTACCTTATTGAAAGGAAGAGTGGGGTATTCACATAGTTCAATACTTTTAAATTGCATGTCGAGAAACTAAGTAAATACAAGTTAAAGAAATTGAGAACTGATAGTGGTGGTGAACACACCTATGAAAAATATGCAAGATTTTGGACTGATGAAGGTATAAAACATGAAGTCGTTTCACCCTATACACCTCATCATAATGTTATAGTTGATAGGATAAATAGAAGTATATTAAACATGACTAGGAGCATGTTGAAATCTAAAGATATGCCAAATAGATTTTTCGGTGAAGCAGCTTCGACAACAATATACATTCTAAATATATGTCCAACAAAGAAGATAGTCAAGAAGACACCATATGAGGCTTGGACAGGACATAAGCCAAATGTTAGCCATCTTAGAGTCTTTGGATCAATATGCTTCAGACATGTATCTGAACAATTGAGAAAGAAACTAGATGATCAAAGTCAGGTTATAATACTCATAGGTTACCATTCGACTGATTTATACAAACTATATTCATGAAATGATGATAAACTAGTGATCAGTCGAGATATCCTAATGGATGAAAGAAAAGGGTGGAATTGGAGTAAAGGGTTAGTTCGATAGGAGAAAGAAATAGACACAATTATGCTTGATGAAGACCAACATAATGAAGTTATAACCAAACGAAATGAAGAACCAACTGAGCAGAATGTTAAGAGGTTAACTAGAGCAAGAACTGAGTCGACAAGACTAGCTGGATATGAGAGATTTCTAGATCAAATAGTCGATACAGATGGTGATTTAATAGGAGAAGTAATAATGATGGATGATTCAGAATAATCGATTTAGATCAAGCCATGAATGATTCGAATTGGTTAGCAGTCATGCAAGAAGAACTCAGGACAATCGAGAAGAATGAGACTTTTGAATTTATCAATTACTTAAATGCACAATGTAGCCGAATTCATTTTCCAAGTTTCACATAAAAAATTAGAGTTAAACATTAACGGTAGATATAAATTATACAATTTTGTATTTTAATTTATTAAATCTTATTTATGCTACAATTTAAAACCTTAACCCTTTGATCTTGCAATGTGTCTTAGGGGTGGACAACAACCGATTATGTGTGGGTTTGGACCTGAAATAGCTAACTCGAACTAACCCACATTTGGAAAAGTTGAACCTAATTTCACCCAAAACTAAATTTGGTTTTATCGGTTGACAGATTATCGGTTTAAACGATTCGTTCAATTGCGTTGAATCGATTTGGACCAATAAATTCTAACCCGAATTCTATCATTCATGTAACACTCATCATATTAATACTCATTAAACTTCATTCTATATAATTAAAAGAACTAAGGAAACATAAGATATTTTTATTATATTACATTTCCATCATCATCCAAGTGATAAACTATTAACATTATATTACAATTTCATCATCATTCAAGTAATAAACTAATATATTATATTACAAGTACATTATAAGCCAACATATCCTCAACATATTCATGAAAATTTACTAAATCACCATCACAACATCATCATTCCATCCATCAACGAATAAGAAAATAGATCCCAAACAACACCTTTAACTAAGTCAGTATTGTCAAATAGAAGCCATTGACTATTTAGTACAAATTGTTTTCAAATAGCTGAGAACGTGAATGCATGGAAACTAATTCATTTCTGTTTCCAACAGCATCAGAACCACAACCAGATATTAATACATTTAATATTCTGTTTTTTTTTTTACAAAGTTGAAAACAAACATAGTAATCAGTTCTGAGAAAGTGATACTTAACTAGTAGAACCAATCACATTTCTTCTACAAACTTTAATAGTAAAAATTGATTGATCTGATTCTGACATAGTTGTTACTCCAACACATGTAATCACTTGTAACTCAAACGAAGCTTAATTTTTCTATATTTTTGCATTCTAATTAAACAATTATGATTAGCGATATTTTTTAATCAACATTTGTTAATAATTAATATTGTTTTTATAAATTTATTTTTAAGTGTTATTTAATTTTATTTAAATATACTACTTATTATCATTATTTATAAGAAAATATTGGTAATAAACTAATCACGACGAGAAAGAATTATATGTAACACATGTACTATAGTTGATTTTAACTAAAGAAAAAAAGTACATTTTTTCTTTCCTATTAATTTTAATGACAAAAGAGTGTCTGCTCCATTTTTATTGAAAATAAAGTGAACCATTCATCCGAGTCTATTAAAATATAAATGTCATTTATATTTTTTTCTAATTTTAAAATATATACTATCTGACTCTGAAATCTATTACCAAGACATTGACACTCTATTTTGTTTTCAATGACAACCAAAAATTATAAATATAAATGATATTTATCTACTGTTTTTTTTGTCTTTAATTAAAAACTTCTATTAGTATATATAAATTTAAGAAAGATTAACACATATTTTTAAATTAAATGAAGTGTCAGTGAGGACCTTAGAATAAATGAGTAAAATTTATTCAAAATAAATTTAATTTTTAGAATTAAAAATTTGTTGTGAATTGATGTCGTCAAGAGCAAACCAAAATATGAGAGAAAAA